CTCACAGTTGGGTAGCAGGCAGAGCCAAACTGGAACCCAGGAATCACTTCATTCCAGTTGTGGGGTACTCCCCATAGCTGTGTGTGAGACGTGGCGGCTGCAGTGACCTCAAGATGGTCTGGGGCAGAGCCCTTTGAGGGTGGAGGCTAGGACCCTGCAGGCCTGGGTGCTGTCACAGGGGCTCCCCCTGGGGTCTGTCTAGTTCCATCTGGGTGAACCATGCCCTTTGACTTCTCGGCTTCCACTCAAGCCCCTTTGACTATTTCCTCCTGAGATTTGCATTTGACCAAAGCTGGCTAGGATGCTTCCTGGTCTCCCTGAGCCCACCCATCTGCCCCAGAATCTCCCGTGCTTCTAGGGAAAGAATCCCAGAGCAGGGAACCTCAGCACCATGTGAGAACGGGCAGTGCCTCCAGGACTCCCCCTCGAGTGGCAGAGGCTGACCTGGCCCTCCAGCCTGCCCTTACCCACTTCTCTTTCAACTGAGTACGTCCTCTTCCTCTGGCGTCTCTCCACCCTTTTTCTCTTCTCTGCTTTCCAAGCTGTCTCCCTCTCCAGCCCCTCCTCTCATGGGTCCTTGTGGGTCCCTGTGTGGGTCTGGGACCCCGCGTCCTTAGAGTTGCATGTGGATGTGGGCCTGGGTTGCTTGAGGGGTACAGTTTTCAATCTCAGTGTTGTGACAGGTGGTAAGACAGATCCCTGTGGGCCACAAGGAAGTTGTCACCTGGGCTAAGGATTTACCTTTTGCTTATCACCAGAGCACATTCAAGGTTGTCGCTTGATAGAATCACATCACTTTCACCTCCTCGTGTGTGATGTGTTTGCCTGAGTGGGAGAGAAAGGGATAGAATTGCATCAAGCACCGCGTCGCTCACTCTATCTTATCTCGGTGCCAGCTGGTGGCTGGGCTGGGCTGTGCCTGGCTGTCCTTGGGAGGGTGGCTCGTGTAAATATCATTGTCCTGAGGCAGGACAAGGCTGAGCACAGCTGATCAGAGCAGGGGTGGTGAGGCAGAAGCAGGAAGGACTTAGTTCATCTTCCTTGTTTTTGGCTCTCTAGGCCAAGCCTGGAACCTGGGGCTTGGGCACTGCATTGACTTCCCAGGGTGGCCGTTACCAAGGACCACAGATGGCTTAAAGCCACAGACATTTATTATTTCAGCTCTGGAGGCCAGAAGTCCAAAATCAAGGTGTCGGCGAGGCCATGCTCCCTCCGAATGCTCTAGGGAGGAATCCTTCCTCGCCTCTTCTAAGCTCTGCTGGGGTCGGCAGTCCTCGGCACGTGTTGGCTTGCGGCCGAATCACTCCTGTGTCTGCCTCCGTTGTCATGGGCGTTCTCACTGTGTGTGTCTTCATACTGCTGCCTTCCCTTCTTCTTTTCTTTTCTTTTTTTGAGACCCAAGCCGGAGTGCAGTGGCACTCTGCTACCTCTGCCTCCCAGGTTCAGGTGATTCTCCTGCCTCAGCCTCCTGAGTAGCTGGGATTACAGGCACCCACCACCACACCTGGGTAATTTTTATATATTTAGTAGAGACAGGAGTTCACTATGTTGGCCAGGCTGGTCTCGAAATTCAAATGATCTGCCCGCCTCAGCCTCCCAAAGTGCTGGGATTACAGGTGGGAGCCACTGCGCCTGGCCTGCCTTCCCTTCTTATAAAGATACTCATCCTGATGAATTATGGACTATCCTAACGACCTCATCTTAACTTGATTATATCTGTAAAGGTCCGATTTTCAATAAGGTTATATTCACAGGAACTGGGGGTTAGAACTTCAGTATATCTTTTTCGGGGGACACAGTTCAATCCATAACAGGCAGTTAGCTCTTCAACTAGAGGGAGGGCTGGAGTCAAGAGTGAGAATGGTATAGTGTGGCCCTTGTCCCCTGTAGATGCTACTTGAAGCCATCTGTACACCAAGTCAGGGTAGATCCTTCCTTGTGACTGAGAGCCTCTGTGTAGCTCTGATGTTTTAAGTTTATTTATTTAATTTTTTTGAGGTGGAGTCTTACTCTGTTGCCCAGGCTGGAGTGCAGTGGCACGATCTTGGCTCACTGCAACGTCTGCCCCCTGGGATCAAGCGATTCTCCTGTCTCAGCCTCCCAAGTAGCTGGAGTTACAGGCATGTGCCACCACACCTGGCTAATTTTTGTATTTTTTAGTAGGGACGGGGTTTTGCCACGTTGGCCAGGTTGGTCTCGAATTCCTGACCTCAAGTAATCCACCCGCCTTGGCCTCCCAAAGTGCTGGGATTACAGGTGTGAGCCACTGCGACAGGCCCAGTTCTGATGTTTTTGAGGGTGGCAGTCATGCCTCCTGCCCACCTCTGAACCCCCTCTGGTGTTTTGGGTACAGCGTTGGAGCCTGCATGAGGCTGGTCACCGCTGATGCTCATGTCTGCTCTAGCGCCTTTGAAGCTCCCAGGCATCGTTGGGGAAATCCTTCTGATCAGAAGCTGCCTTGTGCTCCAACTTGAGAGTCCTTCCTGCTTCTAGAGCAGGCGTCCCCAAACTACGGCCCTCGGGCCGCATGCGGCCCCCTAAGGCCATTTATCCGGCCCCCTGCCGCACTTCAGGAAGGGGCACCTCTTTCATTGGTGGTCAGTGAGAGGAGCACAGTATGTGGCGGCCCTCCAATGGTCTGAGGGACAGTGAACTGGCCACCTGTGTAAAAAGTCTGGGGATGCCTGTTCTAGAGCATCCCGTGACTGGCGAGGTTAAACCAGCTCTGCCCTCCTCTAGACTGTGTGTGCCTGGAGAGCCAGGGTTGCGGTCCATCAAGGTGCCTGCGAGCCATCTCCAGAGGTCCTCTGCTAAGCCCAGAGTGGCCCTATTGAATCTGGCGGGGCGCTTGCTTTACTTCCCCTCCCTGCATGCTTTTCCTTGACGGGCCCCCAGCCTCATAGGGGAGCTGGCCTCATCCTCACCGTGGGCCCAAGGTGACCCGAGGGGGATGCCGTCCTGCTTGATCATTCTTCCTTTCCCCCATCATGGCTCTCCAGGTCCAGGACCACGGAGGAGGAGCTGTGGCTGCTGGGGAGAGGGCCAAGTGGCACGACGAGGTGAGGCTGTGCTGGACCCAGCTCTGTCGTGTGCACAGACAGGCAGGCGGGGGTCCGGCAGAGCAGGCAGGCTGGATCCCGCAGTGGCAACATCCAGGGTCGTGCATGGACCGAGGAGGCTGGTGGCTCTAGCTGAGAGGGAGCAGGAGCTGGTGTCTTGCTCTGCGTGTGTGAGTGTGAGTGTGAGTACACACCTATGTGCTATTCCGGCCCTCCGGTGTCTTGAGCCAGTTACAGTCTGGATCAGGCGCGAGGCCCCCCACTCCAGCCGGCAAAGCTTACATCAGCAAGGCACGGGAAGAAAGAAAGAGGAAGGCAGATGGGGGAGCAGGAGACAGGGATTGCCGGGTTCAGGTTAATGGCGCTGAATGGAGCCTCTGCCAAGCCAGGTGGTCCCTGGAACCCCTTATCTCGCTCCTTAGCTGGCCGTGGAGGGGGTAGTCAAGGGCAGGGGCTGGCAGGGGTACACATAGGCCTATGGGCCTCGCTTGGGAAGTGTTCTCAGCCTGGTCCTGTCCCCTGGGCCAGGGGGAGCCAGGCAGGATGGGAGTCTGGGCCCCTGCAAAGCTGGAGGGCCAGGCTCTGTAGGGAGAGTGGGTTTCTGTCATGAGGAAGATGTGGGGTTGGAACTGTGGCTTCTCTGGCAAGACTTGGGCTGGGAAAATGTGCAGAAGCGTTCTCTGGAGTTGGTAGTGGGGTGCTTTGGCCATTTACATGGGACCGGGGGGTTGGGCTGACTCAGCGGCTTCAGAGAAGGTTCTAGAGGAGAAAACACTTGTAAACTTGGGGACTTTGAATGCTCAACCCGGCCCTCTTCAGTTTTTCATACAGGTCTCCCAGCCCCTTTGTCCCCTCCTGGGTGCAGCCAGGGCTTGTCCGGGACACTGGAGTCCCTCACCTGGGGATTCCCCAGGCTCTGCCCAGCTGGCCCTGTTGTGCAGCCGTTGCTTTGAGGGCTGATCCCATGCCAAACTGTCTGCCTGGTGATGGGACCACAAACAGCACTCCCTGGTCACCAGCGAGGGCCAGATGGAAAGTGGGGAGTGTGTGAGCGCAGCAAACTTGTCACAGCCATGTTGCCATGGTGACACGCTCTGTTTAGCTGCCTCTCCACCGTCCCTGCCCACATGGACTAAATTCAGTTTTACCTGCAGATGCACGGCAGGCAGCCTGTCTCCCAAGGTCAGCTCTTTGGCTAGGGTGTGTGTGTATGTGTGCGCATGTGTGTGTGTGCGTGTGTGCAGAGGGGCCCGAGGGGGAATGAATCCCTATTTCTCCCCTCCTCTTCTTCCACCCAGCCCCAGTCCTGAGTCTCTTTAGCCCCATGGTTTTCAGACTTCACTGTGCAGCAGAATCACCTGTACAGCTCATTAGCACACGGATTCCTGTGCTTATCGCTGGAGAGTCTGGCATGCACCTGGGAATCCGCATTTCTAATGAGTTCCCAGGTGATGTTGGTGGTCCAGGGACCATACTTAGAGTAGCATTGCTTTAGATTTTGGTGCCATCTGGAGTAAAGAAAATGCTCCCACCTGTGGTTTCTGCATTGTATATAAATGTTTAAAAAAGAGTTTCATTCTTGTCATTCAGGCTGGAGTGCAATGGCACGATCTTGGCTCGCTGCAGTCGCCGCCTCCCGGGATCAAGTGATTCTCCAGCCTCAACCTCTCCCAAGTAGCTGGGATTATAGGCACACACCATCATGCCTGGCTAGTTTTTGTAGGGACAGAGTTTCACCATGTTGGCCAGGCTGTTCTCGAGCTCCTGACCTCAGGTGATCTGCCTGCTTCGGCCTCCCAAAGTGCTAGAATTTCAGGCGTGAGCCACCCTGTCCGGCCTGCATTGTATGTTAAACTGCGTCCCAGAGCCCAGCGAAGGAGAGAAGGGAAGGCGCAGACAGGTCCTTACTCACCTGTTTTCTGTTGGTTGGCCTCTTCACAGGAAGCAGGATCTGGCCAACAGCTCGGATGTGACCCTCCCAGACCGGCCGCTGTCCCCTCCTCTCACAGCACCTCCCACCATGAAGGTAAGAGGCTTAGATTCAGAAAGGCAGGGAGGGGAGTGTGTGGGGAAGTCTTGGGGCCTTGCTGTGGCTTTGGCTCCAGGCCCAGCAGCTCCTGTCGCAGGGGGACTGTGGAGTGTCCTGACACCTCGGAGGAGGTGTCCAGTTAGGCTCCAGTGCAGGGGGAAGTGTGACAAGAGACTCGGGTGTCTGCGTCGAGGGGCAGTGAGGACATTGACTGGGACTGAAATGGGGTCGGCAGAACTCTTGGTGGAGTTTGGGAACGAGGGGTCCAGCCAGGAGGAAATTGGGGGACAGAAGGCAGCTACCCAGGACTGCCCAGGGCTGGGCCGTGGGCCTCCTGGGACTTGAAGGGCACTTGCCTGCTGGTCTGCTGGCCTCTGGCTGGCCCTTCTGAGCTGGCCCCGTTCACGCCAGGTCCCGTGGAAGGGTTGGCTGGAGGTTCAGGTCTGGGTGGTAGTTATTTTCCTATCAGCACTTCCTTCCTAAGCCTTTTTCCTGGGGAGGCCACAGTCCAGGCCACTAGGCCCAGGACCTTCTCACTCCTGGACGGGAGCCGGGGGAGCAGTGCCCTTCTGCTCCCATGACCTTCCCCTGTCATTTTCAGTCCGATGCCCCAGCAGGATGGCCACACAGGCCTGATCTGGTCCTCGGGGAAGACTTTTGGCTCAGCCAGTGTTCCTGCAAAGGCTGACAGGCATGCTCTCCTCCCTCCCTCCCTTCCTCTTCACACTTTGTGGGGTGAGTGAGGACTCGCACTGAGCAAGTTACCTGCCTCCCGAGTCATCGAGTCATCAGAGGGGACATCTAGGCCAGTTCTTCTTTCTGTCCTGGGGCTGTGCTCTGAGTGGCTCACAGGGAGATAATCAGGCATCGCCTCTTCCCTGCTCTGCATGACCCCTCCTCTTCCCTGAACCTAATCTTTTTCAAGATGACACCTCATAGGAAGCAGATAAAACCCACCCATCTTCCTGTCGTTGTCCCATATTCGATGCCCATCTTGCACAGAGCCATGTGGTATGCAATGAGGAGCCTGTGTGTAGAGGGGAAGCCAGAGCCTGCCCTGGGTGGGTTAAGAGATCGGTGGTGGGCAGGGGGCAGGACAGGGTGCAGGGCTGACCAAGGACAGGGGCAGTGGAAGCCAGAACACCTTCACTAGCTTAGTGTCTGCTCCAGCACCCAGCTCAGGTTGTGCTGAGCTGGCTCATTTGCACAGGATAATGCTAAGAAGCCTGTCACCATTCCGAAGTGTCCCCTTGGTCTACAAAGGTGGCTGTGGGATGCTTGTCTCTGTCCTCATGGATGGCAGGAGTTTGCAGGGAGAACTCTGACAGTCTTCTAGGAGGAGGCCCTGAATTATCTTGGCAGACCTTACTCACTCATGCACTCATTTAATTCATTCAACACCCAGTATTTATTTGAATTTTATATTAGTTAGGACTCCTGGTTGTAAGTGACAGAAAATAACTCCCTTGGGCTTAAAAGGGAAAATTTTGCCTTTGAAATTGCAGGCATAGATGGCAGGCATGACTGCATCTGTGAAATCAGTCTCATTCCTTCTCTCTTCCTTGTTGGTTTCATTCTTTGTCAAGCTCTGTCTTTGTGGCAGCAGGATGGTGGTAGCATCTGTCCTTCGAAGTAACCCCAGTGCAAACAAAAGCATTTCTTTCCCCAGTAGTTCTAACAAAGTCCTAGGGAAGAAGCTCATTGGCTGGCTTAGGTCACATGTTTGTCCCTGAACCAGTCACCATGACCAGAGAGATGAAAGGTTCTGATTGGCCAAACTTGGGTCTCATGACCACCAACCTAAACCATAAGAACTGGGAATTGGGGAGGGATAGCTCCTAAAGGAAGATTGAAGTGTTATCATGAGAAGAAGGGGACGTGGATGCTGGGCAGGCCAGACCCAGAGCTTTCCACCACCCCATGTCTGCCAGGCCCAGTGCTGGATTCTGGGGACCTTATAGTAAACAAGATATTGAGCTTGTAGTCTAGCTAGGGAGCCAAACATTGAAAAGTAATGAGGGGTAGACAGTTAAAAGTCATGAATGTTCTTTTTTCTTTTCTTTTCTTTCTTTTTTTTTTTTTTTGAGACGGAGTCTTGCTCTGCTGCTCAGGCTGGAGTGCAATGGCACAATCTTGGCCCACTGCAACCTTCACTTCCTGGGTTCAAGCGATTCTCCTGCCTCAGCCTCCCAAGTAGCTGGGATTACAGGCACCTGCCACCATGCCCAATTAGTATTTTGTATTTTTAGTAGAGACAGGGTTTCAAAATGTGGTGAATGTTCTAAAGGAGAAGCACAGCATAGCTCAGGAGGAATGTAAGGTTAGGAGGTAGAGGGACTCTAACCTAGTCTCAGAGAGGGTCAGGTAGGGCGCTTTTTTTTTTTTTTTTTTTTTGAGATGAAATCTCACTCAGCCGCCCAGGCTAGAGTGCAGTGGTGCAATCTTGGCTCACTGTAACCTCTGTGTCCCAGGTTCAAGCGATTCTCCCGTCTCAGCCTCCCAAGTAGCTGGGATTACAGGCACCCGCCATCATGCCTGACTAATTTTTGTATTTTTAGTAGAGGTTGGGTTTCACCATATGTTGGCCAGGCTGGTCTTGAACTCCTGACCTCAAGTGATCTGCCCACCTGGGCCTCCCGAAGTGCTGGGATTACAGGCATGAGCCGCCACGTCTAGCTGCAGGTAGGGCTATTTTTAGGAAATGATATTTAAGCTGAGTCCTGGAAATCAAGTAGGTGCTAGTTAGGCTAAGGTGGAGTCTGAGTGGAGGAGAGTGTTCTAGATTCTTGCTATTCAAAGTGAGGCCAAGGGACCAGCAATGCCTGCATCATTCGTGAGCTCTTTAGATTTGCAGTGTCTCAGGATCCCCCCCCAGATCTCTGAATCAGAGTCAGCATTGGACTGTCATTTTCGGTGACTGGTATACACACGACAGCCTGAGAAGCACTGTGTGGGCCTCTGCACCTTCCCTCAGGCAGCCGAGAGAGAGAAGGAACCGGAAGGAGAGCAGAATGGCTGCTGAAGCCAGAGTTAGAGTTGGAGAGGCTGGGACTTCTCCATGTAGGCAGGGACCAGATCCAGCAGATACTTGGACATTTTGCTGAAGATTTTAGTTTATTCCTGGTTAAGAGCACTGGAGTCATTAAAGATGTTAGCCAGAGGATTCAGGTGAGACTTTTGGAAAAATCACCCGGCTGCCATATGGCAAATGCATGGCAGGGAACAGAGTTTAGAGGTGATGAGCTGAGGCCGCTACAGGATCCAGGGGAGAGGACAGAAGCCTGACACAGAGAGCTGGGCGGGAGGTTGTTTGGAAGTGGTTGGAGCTCAGATTGTGCAGGTGGTAAACTGTTGAGATAGGAGGATTTGGGGAGAAGGAGGCGGTGAGAATGTCTCCCAGGTTTGAGGCCACCAGATAGATGGTACAGCCATTCTCTGAGATGAGGGGTGGTGCAGGAGGGAGGCTGAGGATTCAGTTCTTCTTTTTTAAAATTAAAAAAAATATATATGTTTTTAGGGACAGAGTCATGGTCTGTCATTCAGGCTGGAGTATAGTGGCTCATTCCTGGGTCACTGCAACCTCCAACTCCTGGGCTCAAGGGATCCTCCCATCTAGCCTCCCGAGTAGCTGGGAATGTAGGCACATACCACTAAGCCCAGCTAATGAAAAAATTTTCTGTATAGATGAGGTCTCGCTGTGTTGCCCAGGCTGGTCTCAGACTCTTGGGTTCAAGCCATCCTCCTACCTTGACCTCCCAAAGTGCTGGGAGGTCAGGCTTGAGCCACCGTGTCTTGTCGAGGGGTCAGTTCTAAGCATTGAGCTGGACGTGACTGAGGCTCAGAAGAAGATTCTGGGCTGGAGGTAAAAATCTGGGAGCCCTTCTCCTAGAGAAGGGCATTGAAGCATTGGGATGAGTGAGCTCTTCAGGGAGAGGATGGAGCGAGAAGAGAGGTTCCCGGGGTAGCACCTCGAATGAACCCCCCGGTAAAGGCTGGAGCTGGGGTCTCTGCGGAGGAGGCAGAGCCAAGACCTGTGGAGGGAGGAGCCTTTAGGGCGGTGGGACGGGCAGCGGCTCCGGGCGGCTGCTGAGAGGCTAGGGACAGTGCAGAGTGCATAGTGATCCCTGGGCCCTGAGGCCTGGCGGTGGCTGTGGTGTAACTCAGACCAGTCCTGGGGAGGGCTGGGGTGAACAGCAGACAGCGCATGTTGAGGAGTGAGTGGAGATAGTGAGAGTCAGAGGGTAGAGACCGTGAGAGTCAGACCGTGGAGACGGTACTCATGAGGTGGGGGGACCTGAGTGCCGGGACATGTGGAAAGGGCAGGGGTGCTCAGGAATCTGGACCACAGCAGGGATTATTTTTAACATATTCTTTGAAAAAATTATGTATGCGCATCCGCCGGGTGCGCGACCCGGCTGCATTCATCCTATCACAGCTGTCGGGAGGGGCCTCAGGGAAAACTCAGCGGCCCGCAGTCAGCAGATGCCCTGGCTCCTCCTCCCCGGGCTCTGTCCTCCTCTTCGAGCTCAGCGCAGGAATTTCCCGGCCTGTGACTTTACTGCCCAGACCCCAAGCGCAGGGTCAGAGCTGGGAGCAGAGGAAGTGGTCAGAGATTGTCCTGGGGACTCAGACTGGGTGGGGGTTCTTCTGTGGTTGGTGTTGGGGGTCAGTGCGTGTGGTGTGCCTGGACCAAGGGCTGTCTTTGTGTCTGTCATTTGGATTCATTCTGTGGCTCAGATAGGCTGTGGCCGCAGTTAGGAGTCTGTCTATGGCTAGGATGTTTTTCCCTTTGTGTGACAGCTAACCGCGCATAAAGGATTGAAAACCACAATCCTCCCCTTACACCAACTTGCTCCCCACAGGAGTGTCCCGTCACAAAAGTGATGACAGGGATCAAATAACTGTTTCCCTACCTTGAGTTCCTTGAGCACAGTGACTGTGTCCTATTCTTTGGGTCCCCAGGCCCTGGCTTAGGGTGGGGACCCGGGGCTTGTTTA